CCAGCTGCAGCGTCTCAAGGCATAGGCGCGAGAGCTGCCGCTTAGGAGCAGCAGCAGCAGGCAGCAGCAGTGCAGCAGCAGCAGCAAATATCACTGTTGCTGCACATACACCCCGACACAACATCGAACCACACACTCACTAGCAGCAGCAGCAGCTGCTGCTGCTGCTGCTGCAACAAGCTGAAGCAGTAGCAGCAGCAGCGCGATAGGAGCAGCACAGCAGCAGCAGCAAACAGCTGCAGCTACCTCTGGAAGCAGCAGCAGCAACAGCAGCAACAGCACAAACAGCAGAGAAGGGGCAGGCGGACGCACCCCCGATAGCGCGATCTGGATCGACTTGCTGCTGCCTGCTGCTGCTGCTGCTGCTGCGTGCTGCAGCCTGTGACGCCTTGCGCTGCAGCCTAGTGGAGCGGCGCTCTGTTTCTTCTGCTGCTGTCGTGAGGCCTTGCAGCAGCAGACAAACAGCAGCAGCGCCGCCAAACAACCCGCAGTCCCCCGCTATCCCGCTGCAGCAGCAGCAGCAGCAAAAGCAGCAGCAGACAGAGAGCAGCACATGCAGCAATAGCAGCAACAGACACAAAAGCGGCAGCAGCAGCAGATCGGCAGCAGCAGACGCAGAAGCAGCAGCAGCAGCAGATCGGTAACAGCAGAAGCAGCAGCAGCACATCAGCAGCTGCAGCAGCAACAACCGCTGCAGCAGCAGCAGCAGCAGCAGCAGCAGCAGCAGCAGCAACGTGCCTGAGGTGTGTGCGAAGGGCCTCGAGCTCTGGCCGTACAAAAGCTTCCAGCAGCACCACCGTGAGCTGTCTCCAACTTGCTGCCCTGTTGCTGCTGCTGCTGCTGCTGCTGCTGCTGCTGCTGTTTGCTGCTGCTGCTGCCCCCAAAAGCATGAAGGCCTGCAGCGGCACGTCCTTAGAGAGAGCCGCCTGTGCTGCAGCAAATGAATCAGCTACAGCAGCAGCTGGGGCCCTCGCTGCTGCTGCTGCTCCCGGTACTTCTGCTGCTGCTGCTGCAGCTGTTGCTGCTGCTGCTGCTGCTGCTGCTGCTGCTGCAGCAGGGTGAGGCATGCATATTCTATAGGCGCAGAGGAAGGCGGTGCGGCTCTGTCTC